CACATGTACATTATCTTTTGATAAATGGTTTGTCATTGATTGTAATGCTGTTCAGCAAGTGTTGATTTTATTAATACTTCAAGGATCTCCTTTTGTTATTGTGTCAGTATATTCTAGCCAGAAAATAAGATCAACATAATATATATTTGTGTCGCTAAAAGGATGGAGACAATATATATTTATTTTATAATAGGGGGTAAAAGTTATTCACAGTAAGCTGAAAGGATTTTTCTTGAAAAGGTTGCATGTGTCCTGTAATGCCCACTTGTGGTGTCTAGACACACACACACACACACACACACACACACACACACACACACACACACACACACAGTGAATCTTTAACTTGTAGAAAAGGAGGTGACATGATGACAGTTTCCTGAAAGGACATCATGCAAAACATCCAAAAGCATAACGGGTATAAAATCAGTCATGAGTAACAGACATGCACCTGTGCTATTTGTCTCTAGGAGAATCTGCATGCACCAGTGTATAAGACGTAGTGTTATTTGTGTCTGAGGTGTGTGTGACTGTGCTCAAGTGAGGGCAGACTAAGATTAGCCAGGACTGAGACTGGCTCACTGATGTTAATGATTGACAGAATAGCAGACTTGCTAACTGAAGACACAGCCATTAAGCTGCTCATTCAATGACACACAGACACACACAGGCAGACACACAGACACACAGACACACACACATGTTCCTGCAACGCATCCGTGATCCCGTAAGCCATTGCTCGCCTTAATGGTACAGGTAGCAATGAACACCGTCCCCAATATCAACAATGGCCTCCTCGTAAAAACACCCTCACTGCTATAATTCTCAAACACAACAGGAAAGGAATTATCCTGACCCGTCAATCTTGGGGCCAAACATTTAGCTTCCTTTTCCCTCACTGTAAATAAATCAACCTGGTGCACAGTGCTGGAGCTCAGGGAGCGTGGCAGAGCCGCAGAGCCAGCATCGCTCCTCACAGCCTCCTTTAACCAAACAAACAGCAGCTGTGCAGCAGAGAGACTGGTGCAGGGCGGACGCTGGAACACCTTCGGTCACTGCAGGCTGGAGACAGGGCGAGGATTCACATCAGGGCTGGCTTAATGTGATGGAAACAGCATGGATGCTAAATAGATTGGTCACTGGGATAGAAGAGAATGTCGACTTTCAAAGGGATGAGGGGTGTGCCATCAACTAACAATTATCTTCATTATTAGCTCAGACACATATTTCAGTACAGAAATGCCAAATATTGAGGTCCTTTCGAAAAGGTGTAGCCATTACATAGCTTCGACCAGAGGGAACTTTTTAAACTGTTGAATGTCCCATTCAGTAGACTGCTTACATCATTTTTTATTTTTGTAATGTGTTTCTCCTATTGAACCTAAATTGGCTGATATAATGTTAACAGATTTTTCTAAATTCTTATATAAATATCAAAATGGGCTCAGCTTCAAACATTTAGTGTCAGTCTGTAGTTTTCCTTGATAAATGGCACTTAACACGATCACATATCTAAATAAAGTTTCATTCATGTTTGTAATTGATTATAGTGATGGTTTTAACTGTAGCATTGATACCATAAATATGATAAATCTGTACGAAAAGTAATATTATCTTTTTAATCAAATCATCCCAATACATTCAGGATACTCACAAGCTTTACTCATTCATTAAAGCTGATGGTGTGCTTTAATACCATGTCAAGTTTATGACAAATGCCCATCGTGACATATTTATGCACACAACTACATGCCTTTTAGTAACCAATATAGATCCAAATGTAGCAAAACTTCAATCCTAATTACAAGTTCTTTCTATTCCAAGTTCATGAACCCGTATGCCAATAAAGTGCACTGAATTTAACTGTTTTGATGCTAAATGTAGGTCGCAGACAGATAAAAACAATACAGAGTGACACCTGCACTCTCCCAACACCCCCAGCTCTCCAGATCTGACACGGTTGGTTGCCACATGTCTTCCACATAACCAGATCTCAAGTGTGCACCTGCCAAACCACGGAACTGTAGAGCCTAAAATGCAGATTTAACACACTGCGCACACTACTGGGAGACTGGAGGAAAGAAAACAGAGACAAGTGCCATCTCTTCTCAAACTAGGCCAAGTCAGCTGCTGATTAATAATCCACACATACATATGGAGATGAATAGCAAAATTAATCATTGATAGCACGATGCTGTCGCTTTTTCAGGGCCACTTGTTGTCAGTAGGGACTCACACAGAGCTGCCCTTTGTGCACGCAGAAAGGAGGGATGAGGACAGAGACTCTGGAGATCACAGTCAACATCATGCATCAATCTTTTCACATATGTCATTCACACATGGGGACAAAGCATGAACAATTTGTCAACGTTTTTTGTTGTTGTTCTGCACGAAAATGGTTATCCTGCCCCTATAACAGTGCCATGTCCTCAACTGCAGTCAGTATTCAACAGTAACTAAGTACATTTAATCAAGTACTCTCATTCCATTTCCTGATACTTTATACTTCAAAACCAGTACAATTCAGAGAATATTGTACGATTAACTCCACTACATTTATTTGACTGCTTTAGTTACTTGAGAAGAATCGGATTAGTAGTTCAATTCATCATCAACAAATCATTTTTTAAGTTAATTCAAAGATTAATTCAATTAAATTATTTTTGGGGATGAACACATGATGCAGCAATAAATACAATATCAAATAATGTAATATTTTCTTCTTTTCTAAAATGGGCCTGTGCAGAATTAGTATTGCTATTTTATTTTACTTCATAAATGACACCAATACCTTTGTAGTAAGATGTTGTATGCAGGAATTGTACTAGAAACCATGTTTTTCTACACTTTGATATTACTACAAATGTAACTAAAGTGAAAGACCGATGCACTGTGTTCAACACTTCTTACAGTAATACCAGTCACCGAATTGTTAACCTGTCCTTATTTGCCCCATAAAATAAAAAGCTGGCCGCATTTGTGAATGCAGAACTCAGTGACACTCTTCATTCAATGTATGTCTTGCAAACAATAAAAATCCCACAGCAATGCGACTTGTAGTAACACATCAGCTCATTAATGGAGAACAAAGTTAGTTTGAGCTACCACTGTTTACATGCCTGACATTGAGACAGCCATAGCAGCTGTGTCATCTACAAGTCGACATAATATAAACTCTCCAAACCTTTGGAAAGCTTTTCTCCTTCTCTGACCAAGAAGCAGCACTATGCAGTATGTCTGTGTTTAGGGTTATTTATAGCTCGGCACCTCCAGCCTGGGAAATTAACAGTTCGTTTTGAAACTCTAGAGCCCTGCCTGGACCAAGAGGATAATCTTACATGACAGCTTACGGAGGGTGCGAGTACAGAGCAGCGAGAGGGGTGATGGGAGGAGAGAGTCTGAGGGCGAGGGGGGGAGAGAGGGCTTCTCTTACTATATGCCAAGGGCACAGAAAACCACAGGAGGGAGGGGTCGAAATGGAAACCGAAACATTTAGAAAGAAATCGATAAAGAAAATGTTCTCAAACTTTCTCGCTGGTAATTTGGCTGCATGCATGGCTCTGATAACAGCAGCACATATTCATCTCTTAACCTTCTCTATAACCTGGAAAACAATTCCAAACACATGCCCCAAGAAGGAGGGCATGGCAGTCCTCCTCAGCATGCATTCTGCTCTCCATTAAAGTTCTTAATTGGTTAAAGAATCCATACTGGCAGAGCCACAAGCCCGGTGCAGAGATAATAGATTTTTAATGGAGCGATGATGGTAAGGAGACCCTCTCTAGGGAGGTATCACGGTCGAAGACTGAGACTCCAAGACCCATCCTAGATCCTTATAGCCCACCGCTCTCCAATGACATCATCGGCCTAAACAGCATCCAAACACAAGTGTTGACCGGCAGCTGAGGAATCACTATCCTGCTCTCTGAGACCAATGAAACACAAGTAAGTGAGGTAGACTTTAAGCAATTCTTATGAAGTCTATAAACTCAGGGATGTATCTAGCTGGTAGACTCTTTAGAAAAACAGCACTATGGGGTAGGAAGCCAGTGAAAATACCAAAACATGAATGAAACTAGAGTTTTGCTCAAACAGAATCTTAAGAGAAAATCCTTTGATAAAGAATGCATCCTCTCCAGATTTTCTTCCTTACAAACATTTATATAAGGAGTTTCTGCGTGTGCTTTAACAAGCTGCTCTGGCACTGGAGAACAAGTGACCTTTTCCCCACTGGGTCATCCTTTCAGCTTGTCGAGTAGGGTGAGACGGTGGAGGCAGCAGCAGAGATGAAAAGGCCATCTGACCTCCTCACAAAGGCCTGCCAGTTAGAGGAGCCACGGGGCTTATAATCAGACACCAAACACCCCCAAACTCATCAGTGGCCTTTTTTGATTTTATTCAGGGGAACAGTTGAATATTGTCTAACTGTTTAAAGGGTAGGACCTGTAGAGGATGCAAGTCAGTTCTAAAAATAAAAAAATCACAACAACCAAACTCATATAAACAGATGTAAGTACAATATAAATGCAGGGGTATGCCAGCACTTAACATACAAAAATAGCCCTACAATAGGCTATGTCAACAGATGTAAACAACACCTTGAGATGAAAGCAGTATCAAACATTGTCATTTTATAAATAGTTGGTACCCATAAGTGTCCACTTGTTTTGGCAAGTAGCTGGGCACCACCCAGTCTCCAGCTGTTCAGAGGAGGGGACAAGAGATTACCATCACACCTCGATCACTGGCTGGACTATCTCCAGCTGTTTTCCAGCTGCCTGGAATCTTGCCTTCACTCTGAATGCTTCTGACACTGCTGATGTCAAATTCCCACTATACCGCCTTAAAGGAATCCATGTAGAACAATGTACTCCAACCTGGAAAAACTATCTGTTACATGTGTCTCATATATGAGGCTTTGCTCAGCAGCCAGGTACAATAATATGCCACAAAAGACAACAATAGACAAAATCAAACATCTTTCTGCTTTGTTTTTAAATAGGGCACCAACGTAATGTTACTACTACTTTTTAAGATGAATACAATTCATTCTGCCTCATGTTTACCTCAGTTCAGGATGAGTACATCGTTTCTGCTCTAGTGTAACAGCTCCAATGGTCATCATTTAAATCATGGCCAATTCAACATTAGTGCTGTCTTAACCATAATATAGGCTTTAAACATACTAAACAGTTTTAACAGACAGCTTGCAGAGAGGAATCATTCAGAAGTCAGCTCCCTAAATGCCTCGTAATGGACTCTAACTTCCGCAGTGATACATTCCGTTTTTACTCAGTGTGACGGGGCGTCACCCTGACGTTACTTGTGTGTGTGGCCACTATCGGCAGCAGAAACCTCATATTCAACACTGTCTTTCCACTGGACAAGAACATAGGCCAAAGAAAGTAAAATCCCCAATATTGGTATTTTGAATACATTCGGTTTATTTTCTAAAGTGAAATGATAGGGGAATTTAGGGCGGTCTAATGTTAAGCCTACATAACCAAGTTACAACACACGAACTCAAGGCTGACTGTTTATCAAAATAGATAATTGTTTTAAAAACAACATACTGTATGCAAAATCCATGACCCATGTTGTTCCCAGTATATGTAGCCAATAAGAGCAAGCATGAGTTGTTGAGCTCGACAGATAAATGGTTGAATTAAAAATGTTATGATAGCTAGCTAACATGTTTTAACTGTGGAACGCAACCTCCAGTGGTGCCCAAAACACTGAAAGCTTTTTAAAGCGGAACGTTTTGGCTAGACAAAAACAGTCACTGCCGACATATTTCGGACACAGGAATGTGCACTGCATACTTACAACAAGCAGAGGTCTAATTAGCGACAAGAGCGACGTTTCGTCTACCGGAGAAGAAAAAAAATCGTTCAACTCTGTGGCCTCTCCAATGAAATGAGAAGAAAAATAAAATGGTCCTGGTCCGTTTCCCTTCGTCTTCAGATATCTGCACCTTATTCTACCCGATAACGTGTTTAATTTTCAGTATCTAAAATGCACCAATGCATTCATTGGTTCTGGGTAAAATGAGCCCGCGTTGAACAATGTGCTTCCACAGAGAGCAGAGGGATGAGGAGTGTCGAGCCCACGCCCAGCTCTATCAAACATAGAACCGCCCCGGTTACCATGCATGTTACTGCTACGTTCACGTACTGCCGGAAATATGGACACTCAGCGATGAAGATCAGTATTTACAGTTTGACCTATGCACTTAAAGCAGGTTTACAGAGTGTCCCTTGAATGTGACAGACAAAGACTCTAAGTTATAAATGCATGTTTTATTATTTCAATTTAGAACAAGCAGAAAAGCCAGGCTTTAAACAAAGTAAAATGTCCCCATGAAAACCTCACCCACCTGAGAAAAATAACCACCATCCAAACTCAATAAACCATCCAAGCATTTAACAAATCACTGACACATTTGACTTTGAATAGTTTTTTGTTTCTCCCAAATGTTATATTACCAGTGCCTTACTGTTATTTAAGAACGCATACATCCAGTGGGTAATATATACATTCATTTGGAATTGATTTGATTTTAATAAAAGACATGTCAACCAAAACACTCACATTCTATGATTTGACATCTGACAATATTATTGTCAGATGTACATTCTGAAAAATGTAAAGCTCCAAAGTCAGAGCTTACAAGGGACATGTGAAGGCAGCACCACACAAGCGTAGGTTGTTCACTGGGTTAAGGCTTCTGTAGTAGAAAACAGATGCTTAGAAATGAATCTTTGATGATATAACAGATAGCGTTTAGTTAAGCATTAACCTCAAGAGTTTCACTGATGCGCTAATTGTTAATGTGAACTACATATCCCAGGGAGCCACAGGTCTCTTAGTACCGTTTCCAGGAAGTCGTATGTGGTTGTCAAGCAAACTTTTGCTTCTAAGCAAAGTGATCTCAGTCAGTGAAATGTATGTATATGTTTAGTCTGCAGTTTCCTGCAACAGGTACATATGAACTATCTAAATATGTATAATAATAATGCGTTTAAAGTCCTTGTTGTTGGGTTTAGCTTAAATAAAATATTATTATATTGCCTCCCGCATTTGTCAACAATTAACCATAGCAGTTATGCTAGTTTGTTAGCTAATTTAACGCGAATTGGATAATGCTAAACTAGATAAACATACGATATGACATTAAATGTGATGTCGTGTTTGCTTTGACCAAACAGGTTAAAATAAATATGTGTTGTTCTTTATGGCAGACAAAGCGCTAAATGTGCTGAACAAAGTGACTAAGGAACAATTATCGGGAATTAAATGATGGTGACACAGTCATCTTTTGTGCTTGCTGTTTAATGAACCATTCTTATTGTTACTCAGCTAACAACATGGACAAGCGCTAGTCATACGTCTGTGATTGTAATCTTACTACTTTTTTTGCTTTTTTGGAATTTATGTAATATTTGTATCGATTGTATTGGTACAACAAATATAATCATACATAACTGAGCCTTTAAAAAGCGACTCATAGCTGGACTTTTCCTCTTGTTTTTGCAAACATTTGGTTCCTTCCTTTTCATATTTTTTTCTTTATGATATATTTGACTGATGTGGACCTTTGAGTCCAAAACTGAGTGAATAGATATTTACATCAACGTCTGTCTAGATAGACATCTATGGATAGATGAGTATTTCCTATACATCCATTTTGTTCATGTCAGGTTCCTGTGAGAGATGAGTTGCTGTCATGGTTCTGTGGCTAAGGGAGTCCGGCCTGGCACAGCTCGGGTCCTAGTCACTGAGCTGAGTGGATCAGGACACATCAACCCAACTCCTGCCACCAAACCATGTGAGGACGCAGAAGCAGTGGATGTTTCCCTTTCTCCAGAGAAGCTGGTAAATTTGCAGAATGGCCTAAAGATACAGTCAGTGTTTATACCACCAACATTTGTACACAAAGTTTTCCATTGTCTCATTGTTACATGTGGTTAGTCTTACTAATAGGCTTGTTTATTATTAATCAAGTTATACGTGTCTAAGGTCAATGTTGATGTAAAAAACTTTGATGAGTAAACACAAAATCCAGTTCATTAAGGGGGCCCTATTATGCTTTTTCGGGTTTCCCTTTCCTGTATTGTGTTAAACAAATGTGTATACATGGTCTGCAAAGGCTAAAATCCCAAAGATGGTGTTTCTCTCTCACACACTCCCCCACGCCTGAAACGCCTCCATTGGAGTCCTTTGTTTACTTCCGTGACATAGTGACATCACTACATACTGTAACTCTCCTGCATCTATTGGCTAACGCTCCAACACATTGTACGTGATAGGCTAGGTGGGACATCTCTGGTTTCAGACAGAGGGTGAAAAGAGGTGCTGCAACACAGGCAGTGTGAGACAAATAAAGCACCTTTTGAACATTAAAGCATATAAGCATGTCACAATAGAGTCACAAAATACTAATATGAAACCTGAAAATAAGGATATTAGGACCCATTTAAATGCTTTTTGATTTCTGTCCCTCAGAAATTACTGTGTGGAACTCAGGACCTCTCTCACCTGTCCTCACTGGAGATCTGCTTGGACACACAAGAAAACACACTGGGTAACTTTGGTAAGAAACAGATACATCTATTATTTGACCATGTGCAAAGTGTGTGTGGGTACTCGTTGGGGATCACGGACTCAGTAACTCTTAAAGGTCCCATGTCAGGCTTTTCTGGTTATTACCTGTCCCCTTGTGTGTTATGTAGCTTTTTCTGCATGTAAACGGTCTGCAGAGTCACAAACCCTCAAAGTACACTCTGTAGCGAGTAAAACTCTAACACAGAAAATACCTGTCTATGCTGCCCCAGAACGCCTCGTTGGGGATTTCTCTTTTTCCATTGTTTACTTCTTGGGTATAGTGACGTATTTCGTGTATAGTGACGTAACGTAACGTAACGGCTCCTCAGATTGGTCCGTTACGTTTGGACCAATCCGCGGACTTCCACACACACACACACACGAGGCGGGACGTTGCAACGCTCGCTGCTGCGAGGAGCGGGACACTGTGAGCTGGCTCACTGGTGTGGGGTCGGCGAGACACTGCGGTACTCAGCCTGGGCACACACACAAACTCCCAGCCAGGCTGCTTGTGTGTGTGTGTGTTTCGGGCTGGGTTTCACTGTCTCGCAGATGGCCACTGGGCTCACAAGGAGGGGGGGGGCAGGAGCTCCAACAAGCCGTTTAGGACAAAGAGTGAATACACATATTATACAGAGATGCTGTATGAGAAACCAATGTGATTTTGGAAATTGCACAATATACATTTATTTTAGTATACCTCAACAATGGAATTATGATCAGTAGAAATGGCCATGACATGGGACCTTTAAGTAAAAAAACAGACATTAAGTTTCTTACACTCTGTACAATGATGATTCATGATATACACTTTTAATAACCACAAATAGAAACATTGCTATGACGCACGGAACATATCCGTTCTTGATCTCCTCTCAGGTGTGCCAACCTCAGTGCAGGATGACTGAGCTGATAATGTTGGAAGAGCATCTCCCTTTTGCTCACCCTTGTCCTCAGAAAATTGTAGATTGCACAACAAGTGCAAGCATATGTGACAAATGCATATTCTGTCCCTTTAGGTACTTCTAGGTTCAGCTATTTGTCAAAGGCCTGAAAAGGTTCTTTTGGAAGTAATTCAAAGAGTTTGTTGAAAATCCAATAAACAATCACCCCACTGTTACATGTTTAGTGATTGAAATAGCTTTGTTTATCTAATCATCTTGCAGGTGCTTACTTGCCCAAACTGGTGCGGCTCAAAATGAACAACAGCACAATTTTGTCAGTGAGGTAAGTGTAATGTTATATAATCCAAATCATTATTGTATTGAATTCCTAAATTGCAAACTTATCCTACGAGAACACGCACATTCAATCTCGTGTTATACGGAAATCTTACTCATGGAATACTACGTACTCCGAAAAAGATACATATCTTGAAACCAAAACCAAATATGTTGCTAAGGTAAGAGTTAACCAAAATACACAATGAAGTCTGTCCATTATTTTTTGAGTAAGCGGGTCATAATTACTGCAAAGAGATATGTTGAGTCTTTTAAATTTATTTTTGGAGCTTTGAGCACTACAAGCTATCTAGTTCCATTATATTTTAAGAAAAGGCAGACATCTCTGCAGCTAATGTCTCCATCATTTGGCAACCCACAGTTAAACATTTGAGGTTGATAAAAAAGAGAACAGGTAAGAGGAAAAATGTGTGTCTTTTCTTTTTGGTCCCCCTGACTTTCCAACAGGGACTTGTTATGTAATGTTTCTGTATGTAGGATGCATGTTGCTGCTTGTAAAACCGACACCAACAAAGGTGTTCAGTACAGTCTTAGAGCTAAAACACATTGAGAACAGGTTCCCCCACCTGTCTCACAATAAGAAACGGCAGGTTTGTGGCATATCAGCTTTCACATTTGTCTACTCGGACGAAAAGACAGAACATTTGCACAGTTCATATGTAGTGTCCTACCAACTTGATTGCAGCCACAGCTGTGTCATCAAAAACTGATGGAAGAAAAGTAATTAACCTGCGGGACGACACACATTGCAAATGTTCCGAACAGGACAGGTGGAGGATTGTTACCCGAGAGACCACAGAGGGATAAGAGAGTACAAACAGAAAGATAGGCGGCTGTCTGCTCCGCCCTGAGAGTAGCGAAGCAGAGCCAGCCGGACGTGCGCTGCCTCTGATAGCATTTCCTGCTCTGGGAGCTGTAGTGGAGAGGGTATTGAGGAGCTGTAGACACATGGACTGAGACTCAGAGCAGGGCTGTGCTGCAGAGACAAGTGAGAGGCAGAGGAGTGGCCTCCAGATTGGGGGGAGAGAAAAGAGCTTCGAGCTTCAGTAGCCAAGCGATGGATAGCCTTTCCCATGATTCACTGCGTTGGGTAACACCCGTCCCTGCCTCTAAATCAAGTTTGTTCTATTTTGTCTCCTTAGAGACCTGGGAACCACCCTCTCCCACCTGGAGGTGCTGTGGATGTCCCGCTGCTCCCTACAACACCTAGATGGCCTCTCTACTTTGTCCTCCCTAAAGGTAGAGCTGGAGATAA